TTTTAACATACTTTAAAATATAAATTACTGACCCCAAACTTTTGAACGGTAGTGTATATTGTTACAAAAGATTTCTATTTTGAATAAATACTGTTCTTTTTAACTTTTTTTTTATTCATCAAAGAATCCTGAAAAAAGTATCACAGGTTCCAAAAAAATGTTAAGCAGCAAACCTGTTTCCAATATTGATAATAAATCAGCATATTAGAATGATTTCTGAAGGATCATGAGACACTGAAGGCTGGAGTAACGGCTGATGAAAATTCAGCTTTGATCACAGGAATAAATTATATTTTAAAGTATATTAAAATAGAAAGCCATTATTTTAAATACACACACACACACACACTAACAACAACAATAACAATAAAATGGAAATGGGCGTCTGAACAAAAGAATGCCCCTGACGAAGGAATTTAACTGTCTAATTGTAATGAATGGTGTTACACTTCATAACAGGCAAAAGTTAGAATTAGCAGAGAAATCTGACTCTATGTTGCGATTGAACAGGACGTCACGTACATTAATACGTATTTAATTACAAATGATCTAATTAACATGGTGAAATGAACGTTGCTTGCAGAAAGACAGCAAAACCACCATAAGCTGACTTGCTTAGCCGGGGCGAAATCATGACGTCATGATTTTAGTACTGAAGTTCCAGGGTTGCCAGGATATTTAAAAAAGAAACGCCCAATTGCTACTAAAAACTACCGCTGGAAAACCGCGGACTTGGCAACACTGCGAAGTTGCGCAGGCGCTGTGAGGGGGAAACAGGGAAACTGGATTCACCGGAACACCGGTACGGTAAGCTAGAACGTTTTAGACTAAAATCAAGAAGTAAATAGTGTTTATATGTATATAGATTTTATTTGACCCTGACACATATGAGAAAGCCTTGATGTTGGATTTTTTGCATTGCAAACATGGCTAGATTTATACTTAGAAGATTTTGCATGATCTATGAGTTCATAACAATATGTAATATTAACACGTCTTAATCTTTATTGGTTATATCACTGACTTGAGCCTGCAAAACACAACTATTTCTGCAGATTTTAATCTGCACAATGTCCATTTACTGTGATTTTTGATCAGTTTAAAGACTGCCTGTTACTAAATCTTGTGATTTCACGTTGTGTTTTTCCAGATGCTGGAGTTGTAGACTGATTTGATCACTGCATCCAGGCAGTAATGTCTGGCTATTTGTGTTCAAGGCTCCTCCTTTACACTGGTGGAAGACATCTGACCAGTTTCTTTGCACCCAGCCAGCATGTTTTACCTGATAAACTGTGTAGAACCTACCCGCTCCCTTGTCATGCCCGGAGCTTTTCTTCCCGTAGTCGATCAGATGGAAGCTCAGGACAGGAAGGAGAAAACACACTGCATGCTCCAAGACGTGAACTAGACTTCCAGCTGAGCCGGCTGCAGATCAACGCAGTTCTGCGTGCTAATGAGCAGTCCGTTCGTTTTCCAGAGTTTGATGGCCGTAGTGGTCCCAGTCCAGTGCTGAGGTTTGAGAGCAACCAGCTTTCCGCCAATACTCCACTAGAGGACCGACGCAGCAGTGCCAGCTGCCTCCAGACTCGTGGCATGCTTTTTGGCATGTTTGATGGACACGGCGGACATGCGTGTGCTCAAGCGGTCAGCGAGCGTCTGCCTTATTACATCGCTGTATCGATGATGTCAGAGTCCGTCCTGGAGGATCTAGAGGCTGCCATGGAGACTTTACGACCCGTGCCGCCCATTCTGCAGTGGTACAAGCACCGTAACGACTACAACTACAGGGAATCAGCAGCCCTCTATGTCAATCATTTGCGTGTTTACTGGCAGGAGCTTCTGGCGAGTGAAGAACACGGAGACGGCATGCGTCCCACAGATGCTCTCATCTATGCGTTCCAACGACTGGACACGGATCTTTCTCTTGAGGCACAGGTGCCGCTCGCAAATGACCTGATGCGGAACACGGCCATCCAGGCCGCCTTCGCTGGCTGTACGGCTTGTGTGGCTCACGTTGGACCAGAAGGTGTGCATGTTGCAAATGCAGGAGACTGTCGGGCGGTTTTAGGCGTCCAGGAGCATGATGGGAGCTGGAGTGCTTTGCCACTCACACAAGACCACAACGCTGCCAATGTAACCGAGGTGGAGCGCATATGGCAGCAGCACCCGGCTAGTGAACGGCATTCGGTAATCGTAGACGACAGGCTGCTTGGGGTCCTGATGCCGTTGCGTGCATTTGGAGACGTTCGCTTCAAATGGAGTCGTGAGCTCCAGCAGAGTGTTCTAGAGAATGGAGACTCTGATTTAGAAGCACTGAATCTTCATCAATACGCTCCACCTAATTATCTCACTCCACCTTATTTAGAGGCGACACCAGAAGTCACCTACCACCGGCTTCGACCGCAGGACCGGTTTTTGGTTTTGGCCTCTGATGGCCTCTGGGACGAGATGACCAGTGATGAGGCGGTCAGGCTTGTGGCGGAACATCTGACTGGTATTCATCTGCAAGCTCCGGTTTCAGCCAGCCAGCTCAACTTGGGACAAATGCACCAGCTGCTGCTGCAGCGACGGGCCAGAGCAACACCCGCTTTGGATTTGAACGGTGCCACACATTTGATTCGCCATGCACTGGGCACAAATGAGTATGCAGAGATGGACCAGGAGAGACTGGCAACTATACTGGCTCTGCCTAGCGATTTAGCACGCATGTACCGAGATGACATCACTGTCACCGTGATTTATTTTAACCCTAACTTCAGCAAAACTGCTAACTAACAACGACCAACATTTTAAAGTTTCAGATCTAAAATTATATTTGAAGAGTTGTTTTCAGCTGTGAATTTTTTTTAATGCATTTTATGTGTTTTTCTCGTTCCTTACTGTCTTTTATATTGTTGCGTATACTTAAAAATGTCTACAGGTGACATTAATTTAAGTTTGCAACAGATGCTTGCATTTTGTTTTGGAGAATGTGAATGCAGACAATGGGTAGAATTCAGTGACTCACTTTAAATGACACTTTATGGGTTACAAATGTGAAGGTAAAGTCTTAATCTGTTTATGTAGTTCTGTCAGCAGATACAACTAGCATGCAAATCAAAAAGCGTCTCTATAATTAAGGCTAGTTATTTTTCAGCCTCTTGCAAATGTTTTAATTATGATGCTTTTCCTTACACCTCACAGCTTTTATGTCTCTGATGGGTATAGATCTGTTCTTGTGCTTTGGCTGTTTTGTTGAAATAGTTAATGCCTATGTGTTTTTAATCATAGTTATATTGGGTTTGTCTAGGATCTGTTCAAAGAAGTAGTCATTTAAAGTGTATTTTTTACAACATTAGGATTAGAATAATGATTAAGATTCTTCTCATTTATTCTATAGATGTTCCATAAGACATTAATTTTGCTTGCATATTTAGCACACTTGGTTCTTTTTGCTGTACGTTGTTTTTTTCTCTGCTTGTGCTATGAAAACATTTTCACTTTGCACCTTGTAGTGACTGCAGGTTGTGTCAAAGTACTACAATGAGTCACAACAATATTCTTGTCAATGGTTAAACTGATAATATTTGCAGTGCCTTAAAGTATGAAGGTCATAGGGGCCAATTTTATGGAAGGTTGTTTTACACGTTACATTTTACATTAACGTTACATCAGCTTGCAAGTACATTTCAAAATCATTTTGCTTTAGCAAAATTGTCTGTTCTATATGTGGATATATGAAGTAAACCTGGTGCACTATGTTTCCTAATAGTAAACAATGTTTTGCTTTTCTGTGTCTATATTGTTACTGTTTGTTCTGGTCTAATGTGAGTGAGAGACTTCAGAAACTCTCCTCTTTTGGAAATTTGGGAAAAAGATCATATATTTTCACTGCAGAATTTTGTCTTTGTATTTTTATGATGTCTATTATAGTCTGCCTCTTTGGTTATTAAAAGACATTTAATCCAAATGATATTGACGATCTGTTGATATTTCAGAATGGCACAAAGAAAGAAGCAATACAGACACTTAAAGTCACATTGTAGTCACATGGAAATGTTATGTTATGCCTTATGAAAAAACAAGGTTGTTAAATAAAATTATGCAAAAACACCTCAAAAGGGTTCTTGTAAGTAAAATATTAATTTCTGATCTAAATTCAGCATCACAGTTGTAGTCAGATGTGTAGAAAATGATTTGTTCTTTGCTCTTTTTTTGAGAATGATGATTTTGCTTACGTTGATTGCTTAAATGTATCTGTTACACAACATCTAATGAAATAACAGGTAAAAGGGAATTTAACTAATACTTACATACACTGCTGTTCAAAAGTTTGGGATCAGTAAGATTTTTTTAATGTGTTTTAAAGAAGTCTCTTCTGTTCATCATGACTGCATTTATTTGACCCAAAATACAGAAAAAACAGTAATATTGTAACATTATTACCATTTAAAATTATGGTTTTCTATTTTAACATACTTTAAAATATAAATTACTGACCCCAAACTTTTGAACGGTAGTGTATATTGTTACAAAAGATTTCTATTTTGAATAAATACTGTTCTTTTTAACTTTTTTTTTATTCATCAAAGAATCCTGAAAAAAGTATCACAGGTTCCAAAAAAATGTTAAGCAGCAAACCTGTTTCCAATATTGATAATAAATCAGCATATTAGAATGATTTCTGAAGGATCATGAGACACTGAAGGCTGGAGTAACGGCTGATGAAAATTCAGCTTTGATCACAGGAATAAATTATATTTTAAAGTATATTAAAATAGAAAGCCATTATTTTAAATTGCAATAGTATTTCACAATATTACTGTTTTTTTCTGTAATTCTGATCAAATAAATGTAACCATGATGAGCAGAAGATACTTCTTTCAAAAAATATTTCAAATCTTGCTGATCCCAAAATGTTGAACGGCAGTGTAAGTATTATTGTTCAAATTTCTGTAAATCATCTCTACGTTTTGATAAAGCCATTAATCATCGGTCCACAGGAGGGCTCTATGGATTGACCTGTGCTGAAACTCTGCGCATGCGCGGAGCGCCCGCGGAAATTCAAACGCTCGAGCTCAGCTGACAGACGTGGACGTTTGGAAACTCCACAAACTCTGTCACGGTTATTTTACTAAGGTAAGAAAGCTATATTTTTAACAATAAAACTGACAAAAATGGCGTTTTATATTTAAACGATTGCCATTACCTTTCACTCTCTACGACTTCGACCATTTTGCATTTCGTATTTTGTCTTTGTTTAACAGTGATTGCTAGCTAGCAGCGCTTTGGCCTCAGTGTCTCGCTATATGAAAAATACATATTTTGATTCCTTTAGATTAACCAGTCATCTCGTATCAACAACAACGACGTTCGTAGTTTATTGTTGTTGATATGAACATTTGAAATGAACCCGTATAAATTGTTCTACAGGACTGTATAAACAAAGTTAGTAACACTTCTGTAACGTTATATGATGAATTTTAATTTGAAATCAGTACCTATACGTCACATACACCTGATTTATGACTGTTTTAAAGTCTTTATTAAACTTAATTTCATTAAACTTGAAGCTGGTTTTCTGCTGACAGGTGATAAGATGGAAAATCAGAAGAGACCGAGAGATCCACTGGAGGAAAACTCTTCAGCTTCTAGTGGTAAGACTGTGTTCTCATCTGTCACCGCCTTTATTCTTCAAACACACTAACCATTGCCCACTTAGACAGTATTTTGAAGTATATTAATTTGTCAATTGTTGCAAAGTCTAAGATATGTCAGCTACGTTCTTTTGTAACTGAGTTTTATTCTTTATATACACTGTTTTAAGATTATATGTGACGTTGTTAGTTTTAACCATTAGGCTGTATAATGATATCAGTGTGAGTTATAAGTTCTAAAATGTTTTACAGAACTTGAAAATGTGTTGAAGAAAAGGCGGCTGGCAGCAGTGGGAGAGGAGAACCTGGACCCCAAGAAATCGCCTGCCAGGACACGCTTGCAATTGGCAGAGCTGGAGGTGAAACCAGACACTCCAGCCATAACCTCCATCCACTCCAGAGTCCAGCAACTCAGCCAGAGACGAGATGGTAAGAATTCAGATTTATCCTTTTGTAAATCACTCTGCCAATTCAAGTATATTTAAACTATTTGTTAACTTTTTTTTTTTCTTTTTTTGATGGAGAACCTGGCCCCCAGAAATCGCCTGCCAGGACACGCTTGCAATTGGCAGAGCTGGAGGTGAAACCAGACACTCCAGCCATAACCTCCATCCACTCCAGAGTCCAGCAACTCAGCCAGAGACGAGATGGTAAGAATTCAGATTTATCCTTTTGTAAATCACTCTGCCAATTCAAGTATATTTAAACTATTTGTTAACTTTTTTTTTTTCTTTTTTTGATTTTTCAGTACATTTCAAAATCATTTTGCTTGTGATGGTTTATATGTGTACTATTTTATATGTAGATTTGTGAAATGAAACTGGCGCACAATGTTACTTGATAGAAAATATTGCTTTGCTTTTTACATTTTTGTTGTTTGTCTATATTGTTACTGGTTATTTAGTTCTAATGTTAGTGACAGACTGAAGACCTTTTTTTGGAAATTTGGGAATGGAACACTATTTTCAGTGCATAAATTTGCATTTTTATGATGCCCATTATAATCAGCCTCTCTGGTTATTAAAAGATGTTTAATCCATTCCAAATGATCTTGTTGATACTTCAGAACGGCACCAAAAAAATATATATATATGTTATATAAATATAACATATAATTTAAGACTATTAAATACATCTGTTAATAACATAAATAGTTCTAACACTTCAGAAATGTTTTTTTTTTTTTTGTATAATTTTGTATTGTTTTTCTTATTATTATTTTTATGTATTTTGCATGGAGGCTGCATGGAATGTTTGTACTTCTAAAATGTAATTTGTCCCAGTGCATGGCTATTTAAGGGAACTGCAAAAAAGACTAAAACTTGTGAGAGAAAAAAACAATCATCTACTAAATGCACTTTTCCTAATATGTAAATTTGAATGTAAAATCTTGTTGAATTTTTTTTTTAAATGGCCATGTTTTTTTATTAACCACCATTCATTCTCTTTCCTGTTGCACTTTATAATTTTGTTGTCTGTATTATGAGAATTGTGCCGTTGATATGTTTTTAAGCATGTTTATGTAGTGTAATTATATTTCCAGTGTTTAGTAATGAATTGTCTTTTTTCTGTGTTGTCAGGTGGGACTGGGTTAGTCCAGCGCTGCCTGTCTGACCCCGGGTCCGAGGGTTGCACCGACAGCATGTCCTCGCAGATCTGTCATATCGGTGAGTATTTTCTTCCACATAGGCTGCTGCAGCTTCTTTTACTGCATTCTTTATTAAGTCTTTAACTGTGGCGAGCTGAATGTGCATTTTTATGTAAGGTGAGGGAGAGTTTAGCTCTCGCCTGCAGTGCTTCAAAGCTCCGACGCCACTGAACAGCCCCGGTCGCTCCACCCCCTGCACACGCAATCTCTCCAGCTTTGTGCATGGCATGCAACAGCAGCTGAACACTGCAGTGACACCCAGCAGTAAAGAGGCCTCCCGTATCCGCCAGGTAGATCTGTCCCACCCATTTCACCTTTTTTCTGACTGTTTCTGAAACAAATCTCTAAGCGAAGGATATGTATTTTTACTAAGTTCAACTGTCTTCAAATACAGGCACGTGAGGATGAGTTGCGTCAATTGAAGGTTCAGCCAGTGGCAGAAAACATGTGGTTGAAGAGGAGTCTGTCTGACTCTTCCCTCATTGAGGTGAGCCAGTCAGGTTAAGATGTTTGTCTGTTTACTGTGGATTCTTGTCTGGATTTTGAGCATTTAGAAGTTTAGATCAAAAGTAAATAATCCCCGTTTTCCCAGAGGCCATCTCCGTCCACATCCTCTCCCTGGGTTTACAGGCAAAATCGAAAACCCCAGTGGCCTCCATTACAGCCCGGGAGTGTGAGCATGTATTTGAGACAATTTGTTGAAGTTTGTTATTTGACTTTTCATTTTTTTCATTTGTCTGTTTCGTCATTCTTCTTAGGGCTCCAGACTGCGACCATTTTTTCTGCCGGTGCGACTAATTTTTGTGAGCGGTCGCACTGGCGCGACCACTGCATTGTCCAACTCATAAGCGCTGCCATTTCTGTTGCATTTGAGAAACAGCAAACGAAATGAAAGCGAAACTAAACCGTGCTACGTTTCAGCTGCGCAGCTCGGACCGCTACGCAAACAAACTTGTCCGAGCTCAGAATGATCCTCAGCTCAGTCGCTCCTGGTGGTGATGGCTCATCAATTGTGGTAACTGTAACCGTGGTGTTGTGGTAGAAATAGTCGAATGCATTACATCATTCATTTCAGGGTTTGTACAACCTTTTGAGAGAGAATTTCAAGCACTTTTCAATTACTTTCAAGCATTTCACACAACTAATTCCAGCACTTTAAAGCTCTAAAATGATCCAGTTTGAATGTTATTTTTAATGGGATGACCAAAATATACTTTGTGGTAAACAAAGACTTATGTAAAATTTAAAAAATACATCAAATCACAATTATAACCAGTAGACAGCAGCAGAGGAGC